TCATCTGATCGCGCGACACGCCGTACAGCACGCCGTGCATGATCGGCCACTGCGGCGTCGTCGAGTCGAGCCGGCGCCGTGTCTCCTCGGCGGGGAGCTCGATGGCCTTGCCGCGGCCGATGTCCATCCGCAGCTCATCGTTCTCGACGTAAACCCGTGACCAGACAATCTCGCCCGGCTTGGCGACGCCACTCAACGTCGAACCTCCCTTGGGGAAGTACATCGGCGGCTGACGATAGCCCTCGCTGCCCGCCCAACCGCCGACGTGATGCTCGACCGGCGCCGAGCCAGAGATCTCGAACACCCAGACGTACTCGTCGGTCGAACCCGAACGGTCGGCGTCCCCCCAACGCAGGTCGTGGAGCGTCGTCTCAGCCGGCAAGCCGAGCTCGTCGTGCACACGCTGGATCATCAACCCGTCGAGCCCGGCGCATTCATCGACTTCATTGAAGTGCAGGACCGGCTTCCCGGCGAACAGCTCGCGCTTGCCGTCGCGGCTCTGGACCGGCGGTCGCGCGGTGCTGTTGAGCATCCCCTCGACAAGGTCGCTCGCCGGCAGCAGGTCCTTGAGCCCCTGCTGGTACTGNNGTCGTCCGCGATCCGCACCGCGGCGATATACATCTGCATCTGCAGGCGGAGCTGCTCGTCGGTTAGGTCGGTTTCGTGGGTCGGCCCGGTGTGGAACTTCATGCCCCGTTGCTCGACCCAGGCACGGGCGGCGTCGGCCTCTTCGGGAGACGATTGGGTCGTTTCAAAGTAAAGTGCCGATTGGCTGAGCCGCTCCTTGAAGACGCCGGTGGCGTTGAGCAATCGGTCGGGGATGATCGCGTTGAACATCCCCATGCATCCCTCGTCGAAGACGCCCATGATCGCCTTGTGGCGACGGAGCTCTTCGGCGAGCGACTTGCCCAGATCACGAGCGTCGGCGGGAACCGTATCAACGGCGAGGTCGCTGACGTGCGACGCGTCGTGGACGCACATGCCGGTCCGCAACCAATCGCCGAGCTTCGCCGTGAAGTAGGCGTCGGTGAACTCTTCGCTCCACAGCGTCGAGTAGGAGACGCCCGCTTTCGTCAGCGAGCCGTTGAGATTGAGCATGCCGACCAGGCCCGGCCACTGGCCCGACCAGTTGGCGACGGTCAGGATCGGGCCGCGGTGCGTTGTCAGCCCCGGCAACACATGATGCGAGTACTGCCATACGGCCTCGGCGACAATCAACGGCGCGTCGGGCGGGATTGAACGAAACACCTCGAGCCCTTCACGCTGGCTGGCGATGAAGCCGTGCTTGGCGTCCTCCTTGTAGGGGTGCGCGCGGACGAGGCGGTAGCCTTGCTCCTCGATCGCCACTTGCAGGGCCCGCTCCATCGCCTGTTGGGCTTCCCAGCACTGCTGGTTCGCCGACGGCCGCAGGTCGCCGCTGGCGACCAAGAGCACGGTCTTAGAGTCGTGCGGAATCGTCGTGTCGGTTTCAGTCGCCATAGTTATCACGGGGCCTCTTCTGCATCCGCGGGTAGCGGAATTGGTTTCAAGTGAGATTCAGTGCGGAGCGGTTTGCCCCCCGACTGGTGTGAGAGCCGTCCGCCGCGATAGGTCGCGACCACCGCCCCCGGTAGCGTCACCTTCAAGTTCCGATTGGCGGCGACACGATGTTCTTATCAATGCTGTGAGCCATGCGAGCCAACTCGCACAGCGAGTGACCGTCCCCTGGCTGAACCGCTTTAGCGATCGCTATCGAGCGGAGTGAGTGAGCGTGACGAGGGGTGAAAACGCCGACTGGCGATCGGATCGCTGGGGCTCCGATATCGGCTTTCCTTCCGACACCATCCATTGCAATCAGCGTGGCCCGAAGCGCCCATGGATAAATGGGGCTCGAGGATAGACAATCTAGCACCTGTCGGCTTCTGCCGATT